TAAATAAAAAAAAAAGAAATATAACCCTATAGAGGACTCAAGCATCGACTAAATATCAAAAAAATTCTAAATTTTCCCTTTTAAACTTCAGTGGTCCTAACATTTACTTTTTTAACAATTTTTAATTAAAAGTGAAAAATTCCTTTAAAGGTAATTTGATAAATTTTTATATGAATTGATAGATACAAGGGTAAAAAGAATACTTTTGAAAAACTAATGCATTTGGCCAAGTTTTTCATCTATAATGAGGTTGTTTGATTTCACATAGACGCCACTTCAACAATTCCCTTCTCATGCTCTTCCATATGCATCAAGAATAGCAAAAGATGACTTTGGTTTTTATGCATACTTACCATTTTGAAAAATTATTTTTTAAAATTTCCTCAAACGGCTAAGCATTTTTTCATTATTACGCTAATATGGTGTCTAATGACGTCTAATTGTCATAAACAGTTGTAGTTATTACTTTTCTCCGTTTTACAAAGAAATAAATTACACTAGAGATAACCAAATACATAAAATAAATTAGTGAGGTAAAATCAGTTTTTTTCAATATTATTAGAATTGTTTTTTGTAAAAATAAAACTTCATGGGAGGTTTCTATTACTGTTAGGGAGGTTTTTATATTTTACTCAAGAAAAAAAAAATCGTTCTACGGTATCAGCGTTCTTCTACCCAAATAAATTACGTGAAAAAAATAAAAAAAAATGAAAAAAAGGTGAAAAAAACAACCCCATGGCAAAGCCCCTCGTGAGGTCAGGGAGAGTAAAGATTAGAGTGGTTGTGTGTGGGACACACCAAAAACGAGCCCGTGAGAAGACCGTAAACGGCGGGATTTCAGGTCGGCGGAGCAGTAAGTTGATATTAATTAATTAATTAATTGAACTACGCAATATAAAATTAATAAAATAAATATTTAAATATAAAAATACAGATAAAGGAAAAAAGGAATACGAGGACGAGTTGTTTTGTTGTTGAGCGACAGCGTTTCCCCTACTGAATGAAATACACACACACGAGAATTTTGGGAAAGTCGAGAAAATTCGCCTCTTTTTCCACCCCCTCTCTGATGGAAATATCCCAAGACTTGACCTGTGCATAATTAGGATGATTCCGTCATTTAACTAATCTATAAATCCTCATCGATTTCCAATAACTGATTTCCCCTTTCCTTTTTCGTGTACTTATCATTGCTCCAAGTCGGGACGTTCAGACTTCGGGGATGCTCCATCTTCCACGTGGTCAATGTGTTTCCTGCCTTTCTTGCCACGTCGTATCTTTTGGGTGATTATGTGGCAGCCAGTCCAGAACTCCAGATGCTGAACTGTTTATTATTTCTATTTCAAGTCTGAACTGTTTTTTGTTTGTTTCTCTGTTTACAATTTGAAAAAGGAAGGATGTGCGTACACTAACTATTCAACCCGAGAATCCTTCACAAGTGTCTGGAATTGGGCCACGTGTATAATTCACCTGGGTCCACATCGGGCCCTATGATTTAGCTCATACTTGAGCTGCTGAGCATCTACAACCAGCAAATTAAATGGTGGACCAGGCATCTCATAATTCGGAACAAAGGTAAATGAATTTTATTACCTTTGGTTGGTTCCCAGTTCCCACAAAACTAGAAGCAAAATTGATCCAGATTTCTACTTTCTCACGTGATTTGGTTTCATGGGAAGAACGAAACTTTTACCCCGGTAAAAGGCTAGCGATTTGGCCACATACTCGCATCTTTTTTTCTTCTGTTTATTTTTCTCTAGTTAAGGTTGTGTTTGGTTGCAATGCAAATAAATTTGTACTGATGTAAAATCATGTAAATGATTTGAGTGTAAATTCTGACTTATTTTTCTTTTAAAGTTTAGCTTATTTTGTTTGATTGCAATACAAATGAAGTAAATTAAGACATAAAACAGAATAAAATAAAATTCAAAATAAAATTAAATAAGAAATTGCATTTTTATATTTGCACTCCCATGCATTTATACTAGTGCAAATAAATTTGCATCGTAACCAAACACAGCCTAAGGCTCAATTGGGAAGGAGTACGAATACAAATATGTACGGTGCAAATACATGCAAAAATAGTATAAAATACAAGGTTTTGTAATTTACATATTTGTATTTGTACTTCTTCCAAACTGAGCCTAAAGGAAAAAAAATACATGCATAAAAAGACAAAAAATAGCCTATCTAAGGATGTCAATGGATTGGGTTAAATGGTAGATCTAGCTTGACCCAACCCTATAAGGTCGGGTTAGGGTCAATACATTTGGCATTAGGGTCGGGTTAGGGTCATGATACCCTGCATATATACAAAGTATTCTTGTAAGTTTTTTACTTCTAAATCTATAGCCTTGAACTTCAAGATTTATTTACATATTAGTTTTTATTTTTTCTTTTTTTTTTAAATTGGAAAAGTGACATCTTACAATCTATAAAACAATTTCCTAACTTAAATTAATGGATTTTAAGTCTTCAAAACATGCTAAAAATTATAATTGAAATGCTATAGGTCAGGTTAGGTCCATAGTGGGTTAGACCCTATAGGGTTGGATGGAATTCGAAAATTATATATCTTTAACATGAATCGGGTTAGGTTTAGGTTGAGGCACTGTAGGGTTGGGTTAGGTTTGAGGAAAACCCATGCTAAATTCAACCCATTGACATCTTTCTTTGACGAATAACAGCGGGGTTTTCTGGTCTTTTCACTAGAATGTGCCCCCATTCAGTAATTACTATCCTAGCAAAAGCAAAATGATCATGCTTTATCATCTTATACACAATTGCAATAGAACCCCCCACCACACTCTTTCTCTCTATCCCCACAGCACTTTTGAACCGTTGATTAGCAACATCTTTTGATTAATGACACCATATAAATATGATAGATATTTTTAATGTACAGTTGCAAGTGCTGTGAGGAGCAAATCCAGATTCTACATGCAGGCATATGTTTGTGCTTGTGTGAGGGCTGATTTAGTTGAGTGAATGCTTGTTCCCCATGTGATGATAGTATCCTTAGCTGCATTTGGAAACGATGCAAATAAAGTGTAAATCCTGGTTCAAGGTAAATTTGCACTTTGGTTCACTTTTGCCTATGTTTGGCAATATTACATTTATGCATTGATAACCGACAAATCAATGTATATTTACATTGATAATAAGATGTAAAAATACATTAATTAAAAAAAAGTAAATTTGTATTCAAGTGGGATTTTGATAAAAAAAAAAGCATATGCTTTATTGGAATTCATATTTGCATCCATTATAGCTAAAAGTCTATTTGGCAAAAAGGTAAATTTGTGAGTGCAAAACTAATCCAATTTTACACTTTATATGAACCGTTTTACACTCTACATATTTGCATTCACACTTATTTGCATTGTTTCCAAATACAGCCTAAAGGAGTATTTAGACCTAATTTTTGCCAATAACAAAGAAAAATTGATTAGTTTTCTCAGGTTCTTTTGCGAAGAACTATGAAGCGATTGAAAAATACATTTTACGTCAGTAAATTTTTAGTCAATTTTCTTGAGTAAGTATTACACTTTTCCAAGATGGATAAACTACTTTCTCATAGAGTATTTCGGATTTGCTCCTTACACACAACTTGCCTCACCCAACCTCACAGCATGTTGCAGCAGAGAATTGGAAATATCTCTCCATAAATGTCAATATACAACTTCTGGGAGAGATTCCCAATGTGAGGGTGCAAGTGCTGTGAGGTGGTGGAAAAACCGATTTCAGATTTCCTCCTCACAAATTTGGTCCTTACATCCACCTCACAGTTTTTTCAGTGTATATTAAAAACATTTCTGTACTTGCATGTTTTTATTCACGGGTAGATATTTTAAATGCATGTTATAAGGATTGCGAGGTAGATAGTAATGACCAATTTTGTAATGAGGAAATCCAATTTTGAGAAAGCTACCCAAACGATTGTGGGATTAAAATTGGCCCTGTGAACTCACAAAAGCCAAGATAAAACTAACGAGGGAGGAAAAAGATTTCCTGACAATCGAACATGTGCTTAAGTAAGTGCATTTAAAGATAAATATGTTATGGGCAAAATAATTACGGGATGTTTGGTATGGCTTTTGTTTATTTAAAATATTTGTATTTGATTTATTTTTAAAATCGAGAAAAAATGGTTAATAAACGTTTTTCTACTATTTATTGACGGTTAAATGCATGCAAATGGCGCCATTAAGCACTATATAAGTAGAACAATAAATAATCACCTTAATATTAGAAAAATGTTAAAATAAAACTTTTCCTAACAGTTGACTATAGATAAATAGATTTACTAAATAACATTTTGATATAAATGTTTACATGGCAATAAACTAACACCGTTTATCAAAGAAACGGAAGCCATACCAAACACCATCATCGGATAAGGGTACAATTCTTTCCTTTATCTCATTCATTATTTAAATGAGACAAGCCGGGAAACTTTTCTCTTGCCACCTGGCTATCTGCGACTGGGCATGAATTTGAAGCCTTTATAGACGAGTTTGGAACTCTGGATCCATGGTGGTGGAGATTCTAAAATGCGATCGACTTCAATGTGTGAGTGTGACAATCACTCCCAAGGGACCACGATTTACCACACGTTATAATCTCATTATTACCCATAATTGCACAACAAAAGTTGCTGGTATTCAAACTTGTCTATCGTCGAATTGGAATCAACACAACCCTCCGATGCCGATCTGACGGTTGGTAACTCGTTAGCACACGGAGAACAGATGTTCAGAAATCATCCCTTTGCTTTAGACTGTAAGGGCCTGGGCCGGCTTTGGCATGAATCCCCCGCCATTAGATACCAGCTACCGCGCGTGGCTTCACTCAAGTTGTCACGTGTTAGACAACTATAGAAAAGGACCGTCCAGAAGAAGAGTGTTTTTTTTTTCTAATTTTTGAGAGAATAATTGGCAAATTAATTAATTTCGAGTAAGAAAAATAAATAAAAGAAAAACAAGGGTTTATTAAAAGAGGGGCACAAAAAAGTAGCGGGTTTTCCGCTGCAAGGACTAACGAGTAAAAGCCAGAGCTTTTGACACGTGGGTTTACAGTGACCGTGAGATGCGCATGATACAGGCGAGATGTAAATTTGGGAACCAGAATAGCAGAAGAGGTAGGAACTGAGAGATTGATTTCCACATAAACACAACCCACAGAGAACCGGGTCCTCCATCGTCGTCAGAAACTATCAACCAGAGAGAGAGAGAGGGAAAATAGACTAGAGAGAGAGAAATAAGGGGAGGGAGTGTGGTTGAGTTTTTCTCAGTTTGTCTTAAATTGAGGTTGCAGAAGGAGTCTGTTGCCATGGCGGCGTTGCAGAGCTGTAATTCCGTGTCTTTAATGCTTCCAACACAGAAAAGGAATTGAAGGAGCGATCAGCGCTGCCAAAAAATCCGACGTGTGTCCGGAAAAGCTGCACCGCCCAACGACAACAACTCTGAGAAAAATTCAGAAAAAAAGGAAAGGAAGAGAAAAAAAAGGAAAAATCAAGGAACACTCCCAAACGCAAGCAAAAACCCCACCTTCGTCCCCAAAACAAAAATCAAATCAAACCCATAAACCCTTTTTTTTTTTTTTTTTTTGTCTCGCCCTCATCTTCTCTCCTTCTCTCTAGCTTGTTCGCTTTCTCGGGGGAGAGGAGGCACTATCGTTTTCACTGGCTCTCGCAATTTCCTCCGAACGCCTGTTTTTCCATTCCCATCAACCCCGACTTAGCTATCTGCTATGGATTTTCTCTCCCAATTGAGGTTTGGGTCAGCTTTTAGGTCCAAACAATGGCTGGGTTCTCACTGAGTGGAGGAGGAGGAGGAGCAGCAGCAGCAAATCAGCGGCAGCAGCACCACCAGAATAACGAAATTCCTCCAGAGAGTCTATTCCTATACAGAAACGAAGAGATCTCGTACAACAAGGGTTTCGAGCTATGGCAACAACATCTCCACCAACGGCAAACGCATCAGGAAATCTATCCCTCCTCCTTGGCGGTGGGTCCTAGTCGGGAAACTAACATCGCCGATGAGTTGTCGTCGAGAGCAGCAATTGTGACGATGAGGCAAGGAGGAAGCGGAAGCATGAGTTGCCAAGACTGTGGCAACCAAGCAAAGAAGGACTGTTCTCATATGCGGTGCAGAACTTGCTGTAAGAGCCGAGGGTTTCAGTGCCCAACCCATGTTAAGAGCACTTGGGTCCCTGCTTCTAGAAGGCGGGAGAGGCAGCAACATCTCGCCGCTCTTCAACAACAGCAGCAGCAGCTCCGAGGAGAGAATCCCAAAAGGCAGAGAGAGAATCCCAGTGCTCCCTCTCTCGCCTGCACTCGTTTACCCACCACCACGTCAGGTACAGTTGCTGTTCTTCAATAATACAAACACACAGAACACACAAACGCACACGCTTATCACTGCTCACACTCACTCTTTAAGTTTCATAGATTGGATATAAATCCATATAGATATATACCCACAAATAATTATATTGATTATTCCATTCTTTAAGGGATGATTGATTTGGATAAACAAAACCATACCGTTTGCTTGCAACGAGGTCGACCTCCATGACCATCTGGTTTTTGTTTTCTTTTTCTTCTTCTCTTTTTATACTGTTAGCAGGCACTATTGACGAGAATACATTTGATATGGATTTACGGAGTCCATCTTTCTCTATGCATTTCTGTCGGGGTTGCTTGCTGGTTTTTATTGTGTTCTTGTTATTCTGCATTTAAATTCCGCTCATGTTATTGTTGCTTGTTGGAGTTGTATATTAGGGTTGGAAGTAGGCAACTTTCCCGCCGAGGTGAATTCTCCGGCGGTCTTTCGTTGCGTTCGTGTGAGCGCCTTCGACGAAGCAGACGATCAGTATGCTTATCAGACGGCTGTGAACATCGGAGGCCACGTCTTTAAGGGCATTCTCTATGATCAAGGTCCCGAAGGTCATTACGTTCCCGGTGAAAGCTCCTCCGGTGGTGGAGGAGTTCCCCTTAATCTCATCACCGCTGGTACCGCCACCACCACAACCACAACCAATGTTACTACTACTACCGCAGCTGCCTCGGCCGCTGCCGCGTTGCTTGATCCTACCTCTCTATACCCGACTCCCATCAACGCTTTCATGGCGGGTACGCAATTCTTCCCACACCCAAGATCTTAAAACATCAGTCGTTTTTCCTTTTTCTTTTTTTATCCTTCCAATCTTTCTCCTGCCTCTCTAACCAACCTTCTCTTTTATCTTCTTCATTGTTGTTGTTCATGTCGTTGTTGTTCTTGGTACTTTAACACTTATTGATCTCGACGAAGAGAAAAGAAAAGACCTATTAGAGATTAGTGAGAAATGCGGATGTCTGTTCGAATTTCAACCTAGATCTTCATAGTTCCATTATCTTGTCTGCATTATTCTTCATTTATTTGTTTGTTTCTTGTTAGCATTGTGTGTGGCGTACCGAATGGGTTACTGGGCTAGAGCAATCTCTCTCTCTCTCTCACGCACACATCTGTTTTGTTTCTTATGATCACTTCCGGACTTACCTAACAGTTCTTCTATCATGTGATGAATTTGAGTTTGATTTCTTGCTGATTTAAACTTTGAAGCTGCTTTCTTTCCCGTTTACCCGTTTGTTTGCCGGTTTGAACCAATGATGAAATCGATTTCGTGTGTGATTGGATAAAATGGATTAAAATTCTTTTCTTTTAACTTTGTCAACCCTATTTTTAGTTACTATTATTATTCTTTTTTCTTTTAATATTGGGATGAGATGGAGAGGAGTTGGATTATGAGCAGTCCAGCGCTAGCTGCAGATTATTTCATGCATGGACATCAAGTCTAAAAAGTGAAAGAATTAGAAAACATCACGCCACCCCTCCAGCTTTTACACATTATTTAATTATTCATTTATTGTGGAAGCTCCTCCTTTAAATACGAATTTATAACTTTATTTTTTTTGATGAATAAATTTATATTTATAACTTTATTCACGTACATGGATAAAAAAGAAAGCTTATTCTTCGTAATCAGCTTCCAGAAAAGAGATGCATAACATCTTAGTTTTTCTTATTTGAATCAAGCTTTATTTTTAAGTTGTGGAAATGATGCTTTACTCTTGTTTAGTCCACTTGTTATTATTGCTGTTATAAAGGTAAAAAGTCTTTTCATGCATGCCACAGAAAGATTGAGAATGTTTCTCTAATTTGCAAACAGTCTGATCCTTGGCATGTTCATCTTCTTTTTGGTTCAGTAAGACACTAGCTATCACCCTTAAGAGAACCCAGAACTATCGTTCATTATTTACTGTGCTCTCTTTGTTCTTCTTATCTGTTTGGCATGTTTAGATAGAACTCCATTCATTTCTTTGTCAATGCTAACCCATCATGATATAACAGAGGAAAATGCATAACAACAGCCTCTACGACATTTTATAGTACGGAGTGTTCATCTGCAACTGGGGTTCTCTCTAGTTTTTGTTTCTTGCACTGCTGAAAAGAACAACTTAAATTTTTAACATTTTAAGCCAGAGCCAAAACTGAGTTGACGGGAATCAGTCATGTATGATATGGAGTAAAAGCTACTCTTCCAAGAAGAATATTTAATGAGACAGAAAGAAAAGGTTAGGTGGGCATTTAATGGGTATGTAGGAGATTTAGAGGTCTTTAGTGATAGATCCCCATATACGCCCCTTGTTTACTTGCTTTTGCAAAAGTGACATTTACACTAAGCAAAGAAAAGGATCTATATGTTACCCCAGTGTCATGTGTCAGGACACTGATATATTTCCTTTAGGAAGAAAGAAAACAAACTAGAGCAAAAGAATAGCAAAACTCAAAGGCATCCAAATGATGCGTTCAAGAAATGGAGCAAAGATATTACTTAAACTGGTGTAGATCCTAGTTTTTGGAACAGTTCCAAAAGAGAATTACATGAATCATAACTCGATGACACTTCTAAAATGATAGTTATCATAGTATAAATCTCAAGTTCCTACCAAAACAAGAACTTGATTAGAATAAATATTGCACACAACAATACAAGGAAAAGGGTTATGGTATTGAGTCCATTGCTCATTAGCATTTAGGCAATATTGCCATCCAAAGAAACCTAGGGGTAGCTCCAGTTGGTGATAGAATGAGAGAAAGTATACTAAGATGGTTTGGTCAAATAATGAAGGCGACCATCCGCGGCGCCTATGAGATGGATCTGTTACAACTTAAAAGTGGAAGGGATTAGAAGGGTTAGGTATAGATCAAAAAGGACATGGATTGAAGTAGTAAGAAATTATTTAAGCACTGATACTTTAATTGTAGATGTCGCACTGAACGGCGAAACTGGATCCAATATAGTTGAGATAAAGACATTTAGATGATGATGATGAAGAATTAGGAAGTTCCATTTGCAAAGTTTTCCTTTGCACCATGTTCAATATGACTCAATATCAACATGCAGGTGTACCATAATTTTAGTAAACACTGTTAAATCAACCAGAATGTTAAAAGGCACACTCACAGGCGGGGCTCATTTAGTGAGATGCATCTTACTTTTACTCATCATCTTTCTCTCTTCTCAAGGGTGCTTTGTTTAAGGCTTTTTTGTTTGTTCTTTTTTTTTTTTTACTAGGAAATTTATTTTAATCTATATAAATAAAAAGGATTTCAATTGAACTTATCTGGTAAATTATGAGGCTTTTGACAATAGCATATATATATATATATATATAAACACAATATATTTTCTACAGATATTTGAAGTATAATGTAAGTGATATGATTAAATTTATTTTATCTATAAAAGTTAAAAAAAAAGGGTTTCAATTGAGTTTGTCTGGCAAGTTGTTTGAGGCTTTTATTGACAATAAACATATGTAAAAACAATATATATATGTATGTATATATCCTCTATAAATGTTTTCCACTGATAAATGCATAGTCATATATTATGGTACCAGGTAATATCAAGAAAAGGTGAATTTATAAAACATCAAGACAATGGTGATCTGCAAATGTTGAAATTACACAATTTGTCATCCAGTTTATTTTGACGAATACAAATATGTACAGTGCAAATATATAAAAAATGCAAGGTTTTGCACTGTACATATTTGTATTTGCACTCCTTCCAAATTGAGCATAAACTACATTAATTTCCACCCCTTCCATGACGGAAACATTTTTTTCCTAACCATTTATATCAAAGCAAATTGGAAGGGGTGGAACATAAAGTGTTTTGGTGTGAAAGGAACAAATATAGTAGTTGAAAGATTTCTAGGTTTTATTTGTTGTTTTGATTTGAAGGGTTGTGCCAACCCCGGTCTTGTGTAGCATTTTTTCCTGGAATTATCAAAAAAAAAAGAAAAAGAAAAAAACGATTTCAATTTGAAAAAATTTACGTGCATTTTATAGGGAGGAGGGTGTCTGGAAGTTCAATAATGTATCCAATTTATAGATAGAGAGACCTGTGGGGAAATAGATAGATCCCTTCATTCCTGCACCTGAAGGCTGTTTGGTTTGAAGGAAAATGTAGGGAAAGGAAGGGAAAGGCAGGGAAACTTCTACAAGGTTTGTACATGTTTTTCTTCATTTCCTTTCTTTTCTCTACCTTTTCCTTCAAACCAAACGTATCCCAAATAACGCTGAATAGTTGCCAAATATACACGATTTGTCATGGACCATAAAATATTGCTTGATGACAACTTTTCCAGTTACAACTTAATGTGATCAAATAATGATTTACTTAAGTCATCAAGTATCATGCATGTTAGGAGCTTGGAAGGAGTTCAAAGAGAGAGTAAAAAAGAAAACCTTTTAGGCAGGGAAACAATGTAATAACATTTTCTGCAATTGTTATAACAAACATGAACTAATCATCGCTCATGGTTGCCTCGGCACAACCATGAAATTACATGCTTAAACATTATCATGTGAGTATTGAGGGTAATCATCTTTGTTTTCTTTTAATATAGACATGAATTTACCCTTTTGGATAATTCCAATAGTGAAGAAATTAGTAATAATTATATATTATCTTGATATTATGTCATGAAAGCATCAATTTTTTTGTGTCTGTTGCAGTTGCATATTTTTGGTGAATATTAGAAGGATGAGATGAGGTAAAAGAAATACAATCCATACAATCTGATCTTTGTTTTTTAAAGGCTTTTGAATTCATTTAGGCTGCCTTTGGTATGAAATTTAGAAAATATAAAGAAAAGGAAGGAAAAAGAAATACAATCCATACAAGTTTTATTTGGGCTTTCTTACCTTTTCTTTCAAATCAAACACTTCTTTATGGGTTTTTAATCAAGAAGGCAAATTAAATAAAACTTTTTTATTACATTGGGTTTTGTTTGAGGCTTGATATTGACACTTGCTGAAATTGGCTACTTCAAGCTCTTTGAAATGATATCCGATGTTAAAAGTTAGACTAATTACAAAGTGGGAAAGGCTTTGAGAATTAATAGAATTCCAGAAAAAACTTCAACTCCGTTTTGAGAGTATAGCAAAGGCTCTTTTGGGTGGTGGATTGAAGGGATCAAGGCAATCTTATTCCTTCCTTCCCCATGATAATGGGGACGACATAGCTTTGTGTTTCCCCGTTGAAGCAGCCTCTGCTCCTTCGGAACCCAAGGATTTGCAATTGCACAACCAAGAATATTTGTCATTTTATGGAAGGGTTTCATCCTGATTATGCCGAAGTCGACCTGTGTAGTTGGGAGAAGGTGTTGTTTGGTTGGGTTGTACCCACGATTCCTATAATCTGTTTAATGCAAACATTTTTATTTACTGGCACTGCCATACATTTCATTTTGGAATAACTAGGAACTTCGATTTATTTTCTTCCTGCTGCTAAATTCCCTAAAATAGCTCAAACCACCCAAATCTCATTATTTACGCCCCATTTTGTTTGCAGGAATAGGGGTCCGGAATCGGAATTGGAATGGGTTATTCTGATTCTAACTGTTTGGTTGGGCGGAATCAAACAGACTACGGAAATGGCCATTCCCTGCTCCTTGTTGATTTTAATTCTCATTGCCATTCCTGTCTGAATCAAACAGACTGGGAATAGATCATTCCCATTCCGATTCTAAAGGATTTTGAGTTGGATTCCAACTGCGAATCAAAAGGGCTTTTAGTGTTTTGATCATCCATGGATACGATATGTATCAGCCAATATGTGACGCTTAAATTCATCCAACCCTTCTTTTTCATGTACTGATATAGGAATTCAGTCGGTGCCTTTTGCCTTGTCTACTCAAGTAAGAGATAAATCGTATCTAGTCCTCTATTGCTCTAAACATAAACACTGCTTTCACGATTGAGATGAAAATGTGGATATCATCAAAACTCTTTAAGTCATAATAGTCATGAATAAATACGTATGCAATGGGAAAGGGATCGGTTCATGGAGATTTGCAG